TTGAGGATAGAGCAGCAGCAGGAAGGAAGAAATATTAGAAATCAAGAATCCTGAATTCCCAAATAAGGAAGGTTTCCTGTTCTTATATTTAAATATGGGTTTGTCTGAGCTGGGAATTTACAACGCTTCAGAATACTAGGGTATGTTTTACTGAAATCATTAGGAAGATTGTTTTTTCTATCAAAATTGCCTCCTTAACTGATACAATCTTAGTACAGAGCATTCACAGTAAAATGTAAGCTCTGTTTTTATATACATACGACGATGTAAAGTAGTGACCAAATTTTATATTTTGTAGCTGTATCACAAAGTTGAATGGTGATATGGATTGCTTTGATTATGAAATAATTAAATTAGATGCTTTAAAAATTATTAAAGTGGCCCTGGCCAGTTTGGTTCAGCGCTTGGAGCGTCGGCCCAGGGACAAAGAGTTATGGGTTTGATTCTGGTCAAGGGCACGTACCCTGGTTGTGGTTCGGTCCCCTGCCCTGGTCGGGCCATGCGGGAGGCAACCAGTCGATGTGTCTCTCTGTCTCTCTCTCCCTCCTTTCTCTCCCCCTCCCTCCCTTTCACCCACTCTATCTGAAGATAAATGTAAAAATATCCTTGGGTGAGGATAAAAAGTCTGTGTGTGTGTGTGTGTGTGTGTGTGTATAGAAGTGAAAGCCATGTTGATTTAAATAGGTGAATAATTAATAGGTTGATTTATGAATAGGTTGTACGTAAGGAATCAAAATGGTAAATAATCAAGGGGTATTTATTTTTTTTGTATATAAGTAAGACAAAATTTGGGATAATTTCCTCCAAAACTAAAATTATCTTAAGCAGAATAGGTAGGTATGTTAGTTAAAAATTTTCTACAGTAGTTTTAAATGTGAATTTTTAAAACCACACAACTTAAAAACTAAATTAGTTTAGTGACACAAACTCTGAAAACTAAAATTAAGATGTCTTTGGATTTTCCCACTGGGTATCGCTGGATCTAAGGATGAAGTACCTTTAGAAATGCCTTCAAGTTAGGGCAATGCAAACACTTTAAAAATTTTTGTAAATCTTTTTTAGTAAAGCTATTTGATTATCACATTATGTGTAATTTATGCCTTAATATCTACTAATGATATCTTTGAACTTTGATATGTGTTGAAGTAGCTATTTATACTTTTCTTACAGTATACATTAACAAAAAAAATTGAATATCTTAATTTTTTAAAATATTTTAACTTATTGAAGTGTGCTATGAAGACTTAACTCAGAATAACTGAATTTCTTTTTTATTTCTGCTATGAAATGCTTTGCTAAACTGTTCCAAGGTCAGAAATGGATATCATCATTTTTCAGTGGCCATAGCAGAGATATTTTGTCTACTTGAGACAGCTTGTTTTCTGAGCTATGCTTTTGTTAACTTGGAGAGGATGACTTGATGTTAAGAAATGTTTCTGATGACTGAGCCTGAGCCAAAGAAAATCTATTAATTTATTTTCTATTGTTAACTAGGTTATTTTAGGAAATGTAATATATGCAAATTGTGATAGCAGTGTTTTTTCAACTACTACTATTTTATCCGTTTTGTTTTGTTTTCTTTATTGATTTTTAGAGAGAGGAAAGGAGAGGGAAAGAGAGAGAAAAACATCAGAGAGAATATTGGTTGGCTGCCTCCTGCATGCCTCCCACTAGGGGATTGAGCCCACAACCTGGGCATGTGCCCTGACCCCGAAATCAAACTGGCAACCTCTTGGTGCATGGGTTGATGCTCAACCACTGGGCCACACCGGCTAGGCTCGTTTTGTTTTTATAATAGCAGTGGAACCCTTCAAATGAAACTTTAGACAAATCCATGGCAATTATGCTGAAGGAAAAAAGAATAAAAACAAAATCTTGCCCAGCTGTTGTGACTCAGTGGTTGAGTGTTGACCTATGCACCAAGAGGTCACTGGTTCGATTTCCGGTCAGGGTACATGCCTGGGTTGCCGGCCCCAGTCCTCAGTGGAGGGCATGCAGGAGGTGGCCAATTGATGTTCTCTCTCATCGGTGTCTCTATCTCTCTCCCTCTCCCTTCCTCTCTCAAATCAATAAAGAAAAATTATTTTAAAAATAAAAATTAAATCTTACTCAGAATCCAATTATTTAAAACAGATCAAAATGGAATGGCTCTGGCTAAAACTGTCAATTTGAACATTATAAAGGAAAAAGTGCCATTTAGTTGATGTCAACAGAGGAAATTTAATAAAGAAGAAAATGGGATTGTGTAATTTCAGAGTTTTTGAAAGATTCAATGCATCTGATATAGATAAATTTTTTGAATACAGGGAGTAGCTTTCTTTGGGCCTTAGTAAGTGTTACATATTGAAATATATATAATAAAATGATCAACTTTAATTTTCATACATCATGAACTTTGCAAATTCCAACAAAAGAAAGTCATTAAGAACACACACCTTCACATGTATATGTATATCATATTGTGGGTTATCTTTTTATTAATGGACTAGCCTTTTTTATTGTTAGTCCAACGAAGCTAGCTGGTGGACTTTATACAATACTTAATATATGCCACACACTGTTCTAAGATTATTCATTCCTTTTTACTCATAAACACTTTAGAAATAAGTTCTGTTATTATCCCCATTTTCACTAATAAGATAACTGAGACCCACACAGAGAGGCTATGTAACTTGCTCAAGGTTATACCCAAGGACAAGCTATAAAAGTAGAATATAAATCCAGAGCCTCTACATATTAAGACTAATAGTTGTTTTTTTTTTAATTGAAGGAAACACATTTTGATTTATTATTTTATCTTTTTAGGAATGTTTATCAAAATTTATTTTAAAAATAGAAATAAAAATATATTTTGAAACTTTGGTAAAAATAAGTACTTGTAAATTTTTACTTATAAATATTCTTTTGAATTATAAATGCACTAATATCACCTCTAGACTAAGAATTACATAGAGTAAGTGCTAGTGTGGTTAAACAATCACATATTCATGATGTTGAATTCTTTGAACTATAATTGCTACTTGCAGTGCATTAAAAAGATGTGAACAAGTTTGTCATTACTTGTAGTGAAGCTTCTTTTTTTTTGTTTTTAATCCTCACCAGAGGATATCTTTCCTTTTTTTTTTTTTTTTTCTTTATTGGTTTCAGAGAGAGAGGAAGGGACAGGGAGAGAGAGAGAGAGAAACATCAATGAGAGAGAACATCGCTTGGCCAATTCCTGCATGCCCCCCACTGGGGATTTGGCCCATAACCTGGGCATGTGCCCTGACCGGGAAATGAACCCGCGACCTCTTGGTGTGTGGGTCAACGTTCAACCACTGAGCCACACCAGCCAGGCCAGAGGATATCTTTCAGTTGATTTTTATGTAGAGTGGGAGGGAGGAAAGGGGGAGAGAGAGAAACAGAAACAAACATCCATGTAATAGAGACACATTAATTGGTTGCCTCCCCAGTGACCCCAACCAGGGTCAGGGATCGAACCTGCAACCTATTTAATATAGTATGGTCACATTTCCTAATTCAGATGTGGTAAAGCATTTTATCAAGACCTACTTACTTAATTTTAAATGAATAATAAGAGTAACTCAGTTTATATTTTGACTGCTCCCAAAGTGAGTCTTGAGCTTTGTGAAAATGTGCTATATAATTAAGGGCTGCGCATAGTCTGAACTACCTGTACTTGTACAAGTATATCTTGATGTATGCCCAATGGTAAAAAATCACAACATTTTTGACTAGGGAATATAAGATGATTTATCAGAATTCTTTTATGATCTGTGGTCTTTTAGAGTGTTACTATTAAATTGTTGAAATTTTTTTAAAATTATTTTTAAGTTATTAAACCACAGGTATCAGTAATATCGCCTTTTAGTATTTCCTCATAGGCTACAGAAGAAGGGTACATATCTACCCTTCTTCTCTAGTAGACAACTCCATCTTAAATTGTTTAGATAAAATAAACCCATTCCTGTACAAATATTTAGTAGTATTGTCAGAAACTCTTATAGTTTATGCACATTAATTTTTAAGGTATAGGAAATATATGTACATCACAATTAAGTTGATCGAATCATAGAGTGATTAAAGGACAGTTTTTCTTGATCTATAAAGAATGCCTGAAGATTCCGTTGAAAAAGACCAACAACCTAATAAAACTATGCAAAAAGCATGAATCGTTGTTTGGTTTTTTTTAAGCAATTTGAATAGCCCTTAAAAATATGAAAGTGTGCTCAACCTAATTCATAACAGGAAATGTAGAGTTAAAACTATTATGGTATACCATGCTGTTAAGAGTGAGGCAGCTCTGAAATAGTACTAAGATACATAATTAAGAAAAACAAAATTTTAGTTCATATGAATTAATTGTATTTTATATTAAAAAGATAACATTTATATACATAGCATTGGTTATTTCCAAAAGGATATATAAGAAACTACTTCTGGAGAGGGCGACATCTAGGTGGCTGGGGGGAAGAGTGGAAGAATCTTTAAAAAAATTTTATTGCCAGTTTAACGGCCTATTCAAAATAATCAATTATTGGAGATACTATTGTCATAGAATATTAAAATCTGTAAGGGACCTGCACATGCCATTTCTTTTACAGCTGATTTAGAGTTGCCTAAGAGGTTTTATATCACAGAGCTATTGATTTTAGCCCAGCTCTCCTTTCTTTATACCAGTAGTTCTCAACTGGATAAGCAGGTCTTAATAGGTATTGTCTTGATAACAGAGATCCTATCTATCTTCATCATTGTATTCCACTTACCTAGCATACAACTAGATATTCAATACATATTTGAATGAATGAAACAAATTTAACATGTTTGTTATTTTGTGGCATAATACAAAGTATTTTATCTTCACCTTTGAAAGAAGAAAAAAATGTTTTTTCTGTTTCCTGTTCTGATGGAAAACTATTCATACTGTGTTTGTTATAGATTAATTTTGATTTATTCTAAGGAAACATTTCTAAAGTTACAAATTGTTAATCATTTTTCAGACACTGGCTTCATGTCCTATTGACCGAAAACCTTTTCAAGCAGTGTTTAAAGTCAGTGCATTGGAAGGTTGTGTTAAGGTAAGGCTTAGATTTTATCTTGCAACATGAACAGTATAAATACAAACTTAATTCAGTTTTGTTTTAAAACATTTCCAGTTTGAATAAATTTGTGACCTGTTCAATTTTAGGTTTAATAAGTGATTATCATTCCTCCTAAGCATGACAAGCCCAGACTTTCCTACAAGGATTCAGAAATTCTGACTTTTTTTTCTTTGCCCCCTAAAAAGGACATAGTAATGGTAGCCATGTTATGTTTTCCACAAAATGTATTAGCTTTCTAAAAAGTTTCACATTAAGTCTTAGTTATAGAATATTTCAATTTAGAATATTTTTAGTGTGAGTACTTCTGTACTTCAAAACATTTATTGATTAATTAGTGCTTTGAATACATTTTTTAACTGAAAAAAAATTTTTTTAAATTTATTTTTAACTGAAAAAATATTTTAAATGGACTATTAGATTCAAAGATCAACCCCCACAAAAACTTAAGTCCAAAATATCTGAGAAGTATGTTTTTATAACAAAAAAAAAGTTTTGGAAAGATGAAGCAAGTAAACTTAAATATAAAATGTTGTCTTTGTTTTTAAATTCTGGTGCTTGAAGAAAAACGAGTTTAATTGGAGAAGAGGGGTGGGGGTTGTCCAAGGAGATCTTGAGAGGGACTTCTCACAGTTTCAAGGTTAGCATAGGCAAAGGACTTTATTCTTTTATTAAGTATAGTTTTACTATAATGCTTAATCTTAATCACATCCCTGAGTTACAGTCACATCCCTGAGTTGCACGCACTATACATACCTTATTGATGTTAATTATTATGAACCATGATTATGATTTATGTTAACATTTTTTTACAAATAAAAAAAAGTCAGCATATTTCTGATTAATGAGAAAAAGATGAAAAGAGAAAAGGACAGTAAATAGTTAAGTAAAATGTATAAGAAAGATTTCTTTTTTTAAAAGTAATTTATATATTTTAATTGGATGTTGCTATTTGTTTCAAGAATGTCCCTTATAGCAAAAGAAAGTCTGATCATGCGTTGCAATCAGTTGTTATGTCTCATCTCTTTTAATCTGGAATGTTTTCTCAGCCTTTTTCCCCATGACCTTGACTGTTTTTAAGAGAAAAGTATCTTAGTTATTTATTCATTAAATTTTTATTGAGTTTATTGGGGTGACAGTGGTTAATAAAATCATGTAGGTTTCAAGTGTACAATTCTTTAATACATCAGCTGTATATTGTATTGTGTGTTCACTACCCAAAGTCATCATTTATACCCCCTTTACCCTCTTCTACTTGCCCCACCGCCCTTTCCCTCCAGTAATCACCATACTGTTGTATGTGTCTATTGAGTTTGTGTGTGTATGTGTTTTTTGTTTTTTGTTTTTTTTGCTTACCTTCATCTATTTCACCCATCTCACAACCTCCCTCCCGCCTGACAGCTATCAGTCTGTTCTCCGTATCTATGAGTCTTATTTTTATTTCGTTAATTTATTTTGTTCATTAGATTCTCTATATAAGTGAAGTCATATGGTGTTTGTCTTTAAAAAAGAGATTTCTTGAAGTTATCTCTAACAAGTCATAAATTAGATGTAGCTTAAAATAGGAATATTCAATATATACATATGTGATGCCATTGATGGGGAAAACAAACTATTCCCAGGTAGCACTGTAAGTCCATGATAGCTTGGTTGCTGTCTGTGTGAGTAGGAAGGGATATGGAGGCAAAATACAACTATTTAAGCATTAGATGTTCTCATTGTAGGTTTTTGTTTTATCCTCACCCAAGGGAGAGAGAAACATCGATGTGAGAGAGAGACATTGATTAGTTGCCTCCTGCACAACCCTGACCAGGGCCAGGGACTGAACCATAACTGAGGTACGTGCCCTTGACTGCAATTGAACCTGCGACTCTTTGATCCACATGCTGACGTTCTAACCACTGAGCCAAACCAGCCAGGGCTGTTTTGATAACATTTTTAACAGATGAATCTCGATACATAAGTAAGACTGCAATTCAAATAAAAAGACACATGAAAAATGACTTTGCTTGTTGTAATTGAGTAAGTCTGGACATCTGTGCAAATTAGTATATATCTTGGAGAAAAGTTAAAAATGTGTGATATAAGCAGAATTAAAGCATGACTTCTGACACATGTTCTGTTTTTCTGGACTCTCAGTAATGTTGCTAACGATTCATTAGCATGAGCTTGTTTTCAAAGATTTATACAATTTTGTTCTGTTGCTTGGAATAAAAATTTGTTTCATTTATTTTTTTACTAATCCTCACCTGAGGATTTTTTTCCATTGATTTTTAGAGAGAGTGGAAGGGAAGGAAGGAGGGGGAGACAGAGGGAGACAGAGCGAGACAGAGCGAGAGAGAGATGTGAGAGCAACACATTGATTGGTTGCCTCCCGCACATGCCCGGCCAGGGCCAGGGGTCCAACCTGCAACCCAGGTAGGTATGTACCCTTGACTGGGAATAGAATGTGCTACCATTCTCTGTGTGAGCCAACACTCTTAACCACTGAGCCACACTGGCCCGGGCAAACTTGTCTGGTTTAATGAGGCTTGTACTTACATTAAAAGTTTGGTGCATTGTTAATCTAGTTTTTTCAAACTTAAAAAGGTATTTCTTATATGTGATATTATCCATGTATTCTCAGTATTTTCCTTTGACCTTTGCTTCTTTTGAATTTTCACTTATTATTCTTTTCCTTTTACAGCTGAACTTGAATGAAACATTTCCTCTTGCTTACTCCATTTGCTCAATTTCCAGTTCCACTGGACATTCACCTCTTGTCATTTTCTTTTATTAAAACTGTCTTCACTAAGAGCCTGAATAATCTCTGGCTGGCTAATCCCATTGTTTCTGCATGTAATGCTGTTGAGTACCTTTATTTCTTTTGGCTTCTAGGTTATAATTCTCTTACGGGCATGTATGTATATATGTTTGTTTCTTTTACTTAGCTGACCTTTTACAATCTTCTTTGGCCTCTCCCTGCCCTTCTTACCTTTTCTTAAATCATTGGGATTCCTCAGAGAATCTTCCTTTCAATTCTGTAGGTATACTTTTCCCCTAAGTCTTCTCAACTACTTCTGTAGCTGTTAGTACTACCTATATTTGTATAGCTTCCAAATTCTGTCAGTAGCCTAGATCTTTTTCCTTAGAACCAGACTTGTATTTTCAACTGGTTGTTGGATATCTCCATCTATAATACAGAAGGAATCTAAACATTAACAAATCCAAAAATCATCAGGGAGTTTTCCACTTTTTCCTCTCTGCTCCATCTATCTTTGCCTCTTCCTTCCGCACAATGTCTTAAATTTGTTTCTCCTTCATGCCTCTGCTGTAAAATCTTTGTAGGCTCTCATGCTGCCATCTAGACCAGTTCTGCCAATAGAAATATACAAGCTACTCTGTAATTTAAAAATCTTAATAGCCATGTGAAAAGAGTAAAAAGCAAAAACAAATTTTTATAATATAATTTATTTAATCTAACGTATCTATTTAAACATGTAATATTTTAAAATAATTGTTACTGATTTTCTTTCTGTTGTTGTCCTAAATCTTTGAAATCCTGTGTATATTTGATACTTAGAATACATCTCCATTAAGACTACCCATATTTCAAATACTCAGTAGCCATATGTGGCTAGTAGACTATTTTCATAGTCTAGAGTAAGTCTAGACTGTGTATTGTAGGAGCTTTCTTCTGATTTCCTGGCTTTTATAGTCTCTCCTTAACTGCTTCATTCTTCACATTACTGCCACAGTTAATCCTCAACAAATTTTTGATTATCTCATTTACTTGCTTAAAAACATCACTTATTCTCTGATTCCTATAGAATTGTTTTATTACTCAAGGCCCTTTATAGCCTGGTCCTAATAATTTACATCAGCTTTCCCATCTGCATTGGCATCTATGTTCTTTACTTAATTTAGAGTAATTTTTTCCTTATAGATTTTACTCACTCTTTAAGACCAACTTATAAATCATCTACTCATTAAAGTCTCTTCTAGAGTTAATTTTCAGTCAATGTATATGCTGATCTGTGCTTATATCTCTGTTATGAGTACTTAAGTTGTTTATGTGCCTATCTCCCACTATTTTGTTTCCCCAGAGTTTAGCACATGTATTAAATTTATGGTTTAGCATGCTTGAATGAATAAGCATATGTATTTGGGCTAGAGTATCATTCAGTGTGTTTCTTTAATTTTTTATTTTTCCAGGGGAGAATTGATGGGTTACCATTTGTCATACTTGATTATCACTCTAAATAGGTAATTTTGTTTTTCTCATAGGTTCAAGTAAAAAGACAGTTGAGAGAAACAAAAGACAAGATAAATGAAACCTCTTTTAAGAAACTGCTCTCCTATCATGAAAATTCTAAAAGCTCTATGAGGTTAGTAATGCACTTTAGAAGTGGAATCCAAATGTGTAGAACCAGAACGTAGCTAGTAATGAAACTGAATTATTTTTCTTTTTAAGTGGTGTGGGGTTTAAATGTATTTAATTGTTTTTTTTAAAGCATATACTTGCTAATTTTAGGAAGGACCAGTGGAAATCTGAAAATATAATTTCAGCTTTATCTTTTTTTTTCTTATCCTCACCAGAGGACATTTTTGCATTTATCTTTAGATAGAGCAGGAGGAAGAGGAGGGGAAGAGAGAGAAACATCGACGTAAGAGAGACGCATTGACTGGTTGCCACCCACATGACCCCAACCGAGGTGGGGACAAACGTGCCCTTAGTGGGATCCGAACCCAGGACTCTCTGGTCCGCAGGCAGATGCTCTAACTGCTGAGCCAAACTGGCCAGGACCTCTCTCTTTTTTTTAATAAATAGTTTTCTATATGTTTTTATTGAATTTTTTTTTTTTTTTTTTTTTTTTTAGAGAGAGAAACATTGGGTTGGCTGCCTCCTGCACACCCTCCACGGGGGATTGAGCCCACAACATGGGCATGTGCCCTGACCAGGCATCGAACTGGTGACCTCTTGGTGCAAGAGTCAACATCCAACCATTGAGCCACACAGGCTGGGCCCTCCCATTCAGTCTTATGTTTACTGCATATGCCTAGTCTTTTCAGCACTTTAACAATGTCCATTCAGTGTTGCCTCTCCCTTATAAAGCGGTATAACATAGACACCCTTGCCTTCTGAAAATTTCTGCCAGTTCTAGAGAAAGGGATTGCAATGGTATTTTATTTCTTGGTAGTAAACTTCTGTTGTCAGTCACTGGAATGGGGAGGGGCAACTAGTTATACTTTGCTAGAATTTAAAACTCAGTGCCTAATACATTTCATTTTGGTGGGCAAGGAATTGAAAATAAATTAGCAAAATGACAGTTTTAATTATTTCACCTCTTTTTTGATGTTTACAGAAAATACATCATCAGAGATGATCTATTAAGTGCAAAGCTGCAGGACTTGAAGATACATAGTAAGTGGCTTTTTTCTTTTTTCTTCCTTTTGTTTGTTTCTTTAGTGCATGTGCCAAAGTTCTTATTAATAACATTTTGGTTTGGAAAAGAGTTGTGCACAGAACTCTACTGAGCTCTGTACATTCTGTTAAAGCATATATAAACTGCTTTCATGCGGTCACTTGTGCTGTTCCCTGCCCATTTTCTTTTTTTTAATGCTCAGCTTGGAGGAAGGGGGGGTGGAGAGAGAGAGAGAGAGATAGTGTGTGTGTGTGTGTGTGTGTGTGTGTGTGTGTGTGTGTGTGTGTGTGTTTTGGGAAAGGAAAAGAAGAAAGGGTTATTTTTCAATTACTTGGTGGTTAGCAACCTACATTAAGGTCTTATTCCACTTGTTAGTGCAGAAGAAGTTAGGGGAGATGGGATCAAGTATGGTTAGCTGTAGCAAGGCCAGTTTGTGACAGTGAGAAGTGAATTCACAGTTCCCAGAGAAAGTGGTAGTTTGGCTTCTAGGCACACTTCTAATTTGAAACATTGTTTGGAAATGAAGCACCTCTTAAATATTTATCTACATATTTATCTACATGAGCAGTTAAATATTCCTATCTTTTCTTATCTAGTATATAGTCCTCCATATAGGAAAGATTTGGAGCAGGGCCTGCCTGAGAAAATGGCACTATAGTGCCCTGTGATTCCTCCTTGGAGCTCAGGCTCTCTATTCTGTTCTAAAGAGCAATTTACTATTAATTGTAAGCAAGGTGAGCATTTACTTTTCAGGCTAAGTTACAATGAATTTCTCTTTATAAATATAAAGAATTAATGAATTGTTCTTAAAAGTAAATGATAATCAACTTGATTTTTTTACATTATGAATACAGGTTTAGTGGTGGTTGTTACGGTTATTTCTGATTTGAATTAACATAATCTCTCAGGTTTGTAAATCCCAGTGTTACAGGTTAATGAATGTTCTGCCTTTGATAATTTAGTATTAAAGTGAGATGGCATTAAAAGAATTTAATGATTAGATGAGCATTTTTCTTTTGTTAACAAACCTTAGATATCAAACTTCTTTTTTTTTAATGTCCTTGCTGTGGATTAGATCTCTTTTTAATGGATAGACATTGGTTGGTAACTGTGGGATCTGATATAAAATTTACTGCTGAGGAAGATTAAATGATGTTATAGATTTTCTCTAGATAATTTGGCCAGCTCTCACTATATTGATGTTAGTTTTAAGTGTACTACAATTTTCTTTAAGTATGTATCTCTTGCCTGGACTTACTTTTAGAGACGGAGGCGTAGGCAAATCTAACCTAAAGTGGTTCAGTGTAGTGAAGATTATTTATAAGAATCTATGATTTATTTGGATTTGAGAATTGGTTGTACTAATTTGACATTGAATAGCTAATTTTAAATTACAGTTCTTAAAAAGAGTTTATTTGTGTCGGAATGTTAACATGTCTAAGGCCTGTAGCATAATGTTTTGTCTAAGTAAGTGAAGATGTCTGAAGTCATTTGTTTGATTTAGGATTGGCAGAAATACTCATTGTACTTTTATAAGTGGGTGACCAAGGTAACTATGTGGAAATGTCTTAATTGAACAAGTTTGGATTCATTTGTGAGGTACTGGGTACTTATTGGTTATCTATTTAATTAGTTTTTCTGTGATGTTGCCTTTTATTTGAGTTTAATACATCTAACATGGCTAGTTATTTTTTTTTTCTTGCATGGAAATGCATTATATACCTGATGAAATAGTTAGCTTCTATTTAGATACTATGTTTAATGGAAATTACTCAGGTTTAAATAAACATAAAAACTAATTGGTCTATTTTAGAGGATGCTAAGAAGTTAACTTATTGTGAAAATTGGTACATTTTTATTTTTATTTTTTTTATTTATTTTTATCCTCACCTGAGGACATTTTTCGATATTTTGTTCAGATAGAGTGGGAGGGAGAGAGAGAGAGAGAGAAACATCGACATGAAAGCGACACATCGAGTGGTTGCCACCCACACGACCCAACCAGGGCCGGGGACAAACTGCAACCAAGGTACGTGCCCTTAGCGGGAACCGAACCCGGGTCTCTCCGGACCGCAGGCTGACGCTCTAACCGCTGAGCTAAACCGGCCAGGGCAAAATTGGTACATTTTTAAAAGAAAAGATCCAAATGTCTATCTTGCCTTTCCTCAGTAAACTATACATGAGTATAATTAAATAGGTAGTGAAGGAAGGTTGAATATTTTTAGAATTTTAGCAAGTAATTGAAGATTAAAATACAGAATTTAAATATTAGGATTTTGTACACTAATGAATTAGTGGATCAGTGGCTGTTCGCATTACAAAAAGAGAGACAACCATACAGTAAATACCTCTTTATGTAACTAAATGATAGCAAATAGTGTGACCAAAAAATAACTGTAAACCAAAACAAGCAAACCTGCATCTTATTAAGAAATCTAACTACTGCCCTGACCGGTTTGGCTCAGCGGTTAGAGCATCGGCCTGCGGTCTGGAGAGACCCGGGTTCGGTTCCCGCTAAGGGCATTTACCTCGGTTGCAGTTTGTCCCCGGCCCTGGTTGGTTGTGCGGGTGGTAGCCACTCGATGTGTCTCTTTCACGTCGATGTTTCTCTCTCTCTCTCTTCCTCTCTCTCCCTCCCACTCTGTCTGTGCAAAAAATGGAAAAATGTCCTCAGGTGAGGATAAAAAAAAAAAAAGAAAGAAATCTAACTACTAATTGACAAGATGTACAGAGACAGAGATGCATATTAAGTAACAAGGGGATGCAATCAACAAAATTTAGACCAGAAATGATTTAGACCACAAATGGTTTCTTTCGTCAAAAAATTCCGAATTTAATAGGGATGGAGGAGAAACCTGTAGGTTAAGAGACAAAGAAACATTCAGCCAGTCAAAATATATGGATCTGCCCTGGCTGGTGTGGATCAGTGGTTAGAATGACAGGCCTGTACACCAAAGAGTTGTGGATTTGATTCTTGGTCAAGAGCACATACCTGGGTTGCATGTTCAATCCCCTGCCCCCATTGGGGTGTGTGTGGGTGGCAACCAATCAATGTGTCTCTTGTACATTGATGCTTCTCTCTCTCTCTCTCTCTCTCTGTGTGTGTGTGTGTTCCCCCCTTCTCTCCCTGCCTTCCTCCCCTCCCTCTGTCCCTTCCACTCTCTCAGAATCAATAGAAAAAATATCCTGGGGTAAGGATTAACCAGAGAAAAATATAGATAGATAGATGATAGATAGATAGATAGATAGATAGATAGATAGATAGATAGATAGATAGATAGATAGATTTTATATATACATATATATATGTATATATAATATATATATATCTAACAAGTGATCTTTTTTGGATCCGTATTCTAACATGTAAAAAATATAACTTTATGGGCAATTGGGGAAAATTGAACATTGGGTATTTGATATTAAGGGATTATTGAAGTTTAAAATTTTGTTTTACTTGTGATAATGATATTAAGGATTTTTTTCTCCTAAAGACTTAGTTATACACTGAAATATTTATACATTAAGTAATTCGATGTACAGAATTTGTTTCAAAATGATATTGAGCAAGTAGTAGGTAAATTAACATGAATTAATAATTGTGGGTTGGGGTATGGATATATGGGATTATTTTATAATATTCTCTTTTATATTTGAAATTTTCTGTAATTAAAAAAATGTACTATAAAAATTTAATTGGCCATTTCCCCTTTATAGTGGCGCATAACATAATTCAAGGTCTTATAGTTAACTTCAGTGAAACACAGTATGTTGTCTTTGTTTTGTAGTTTTTGTTTTTTTTCTAGTAAGGTTTTAAGTTTCTTGTGGGTAGTAATTTTGTTATCTATGTAACATTTTCAAGTGGTAATGCTTATTAATTACTCATTATTTGATTGTCCTTGGCTACAGCTCTGATAATGAAAGGTAACTAACTGATCAATGGATATAACAAACTGGAACTGAGACTTGGAAAGCTTAAGTAATAAAAATGTGTATGAGAATGATACCACTAATTTCAGGAAAGTAACTTCCTCCAGTGAAGGAAGGAGACAAAGTGATTAAAGTAAAAATGGCTAAATGTTAACATTAGTTAAACCTACTCTGTAGGTCTCATTTTATATACTTTATGGAATATTCAAAATTGTTCATAATTATAAAATTGAAGACAATTTTAAAAGGCTAAATATCTTGGCCAAGATCACACAGCTAACATACCCAGTGCCTCTTCTCACTGCAGAATAATACTAAAGCCTGATAGTTAAGCCTCTCACTTTATGATTGTCAGCAACCTTTATAATTCAAATTATTGTCTTATTCTTATGACTTTGGAAGCAGTTTTGAGCTAAAAAATAATTCTAATACAAAATTATTATTTTGATAGCACAGTGTCTGCTCCTTGACCTTGTTTATTTTGCCTTATCTTTCAGAAATGTTATAGATAGCAGTCTTTTTTTGTTTTTTAGGCTAAAGTTCATAAGCCACAGAACCTTTATGAAATTTAACCTTTAATTTTCACACTTCTTATGGGATTTCTTATATATTATTAACAAATGGCCTTATTAGAAGATTGAGGAACTTATAAATGTTACTAAGAGAACCTGTAAATGTTACTTGTAATTGTCTCAAAGTTTAGGAGCAGTAATGAACCTATCATGACTGAGCAAGAAATAAGAGACAAAGTTAAGGTGAAAGTAGAGTTAGTGGGAAGTACATCTGTATTTACTCAGTTACCCTGAACAGGAATTATGGTGTACTAAGGATAATTTAAATTTTTTGTAAAATAACATCTTGAGAAAATGTTCTCTGTCTCTTTATCTAGGATTGCTTGGCTAGATTTTAGAAGAACTCAGTTTTAGCTTTTTTAATTCCTTAAAGTTTTTTGATGCAGAAAGGAGCTGTTCTTCGAACATTTATGTGTGACTTTCTACCTGAAGTTATTTATGTCATATACAAACTAATGAATAGAACATATGACATTGTGAACTTTTTTATCTGGATT